GATTAATTTGATAGATAGATTAATTAGATAGATGGATAGATAGATAGATAGATAGATAAATAGATAGATAGATAGACAGATAGATAGATAGATAGATAGATAGGCAGACATATTATATACAACATGTAGGTACTAATATACGGAGAGGGGGAGAGAGAGAGAGAGAGAGAGAGAGAGAGAGACAGAGAGAGGGAGAGAGAGAGAGAGAGAGTGTGAGAGAGGGATGCAAATCATAGTCTAGGATATCTTTTGGGTTGCACGTCACACGTCACCTTTTGAGGAGCTCAATGAGCTCAATGTTGACCCCCAAGCCCCCAAGAACATGACGCTGGAGAAAAATGGAAGGACCCCTAACGATGGGGCAGCGCCAGGATAATTTCTTTGTGAAGAAGGACGACATGGAGTTCAACACTTGTTTGGGCCGCACCTTGGTATGGCCGGATTGAAATCACCTTGCCATTGGGCCACTGTGTTCCCCATTCTGGGTTGCCAACTGTCTGTTGTCATTTCAAAACCTGGGCGATTGAACTCATGGAGTCGATGGTGGTCCAGCTCAAACTCATGACATCTAGGGCTGCTGGTAGCATATGAGGAGTTGCATGGAGTTGCAAATTCCTATCTCATGTACACATCTGCGCAAACTGCCGAGCTGTACATTCCGTACAAAGTAACCATATAAAAAAAAATGGTCAAAAAAACATACATAAAAAACAACAGGGAACACGGGAATATATACAGTATATTTCTTTTTGGGTCCTTCTAGTGCTGAACTGGCTAGGATCACCCAAAGACATGAGTCCTAGGAGATTCCAGGAACGGATTTGCCCGTGAGCCTACCTCACACCTAGGCTTGCACCCGGCAGCCATGGCGGCATGGCAGCATTAGGGAAATTCCTGTCTAGCCCTGGGAGGGCGGCTGGTGGTGGGTGACATATTTCGCACCTGCAGGGGCTATCCGACACTGCACGCAAGGAGTTGGGCTTGTCATCAAAAATGCGAACTAAACACAGACAAGCTACACAGGGCTACGCTACACATGAGAAAGGACAACTAAAGTCTCTGGCTTCAAGTCAATTTTTTCTTGTTTTTCTGGGCAGGTCACACGAACTTGTGACGAACGTATCATGGCTAAGGTCAGATCGGCGTATTTCGAAACCGTGTTCTGCCCCTCGGCAAGATTATTCCAGCTTGGACTGAGGGCTTGGTCAAACACCTGTCAAGCTCCGTCAGGACAGTGCCAAGTGCAAAGCAGTTTGTAATTAAACACCAACCAAGTCTTCTTATCTTGTCAAATCTGTCTGATGGAATTCTGGAATTCTGGAATTCAACCAATATATGCAACCGGCCTTTTATTTGAAAGAATGGTTGTGCCTTCTTCCTTCGATCCAACTCTGTTTGGGGAGGGTATACACATACTTTGGAGACGGCCTGCACATCCATGTGTATATAAATATACATTTAAACACATAGCACACAAGAATGCAAAACGCAAACAAACTTATCTATATATATAATATATCTATACATATATATATATAATGTGTATTTATATATCTATACATATATATAATATGTGTATGAATATATATATATACATATATATATATATCTATATATAATGTGTATTTATATACACATATAAATATATCTATATATAATATGTATATATATGTAATATGTATATATATAATATGTATATATATATATTTACCTATATCTATATGTATGTATATATATATTTACACATAGCATGCAAATATGCAAAAGGCAAGCAAACTTATGTATATATATATGCACATAGCACAAAAGAATGGAACAGGCCGACAATCGGACACACGCATATACATACATAACATAACATCACATGACACGACATTACCTTACCTTACCTTACCTTACCTTCTTACTTACTTACTTGCTTACTTACTTACATACATACATACATACATTCACATAGCACAACCGATTGCAATAGGCAAACACACATTCATATATGTATTATATGTACATGTATATGTATACGTGGATGTAAATGTATATGTAAAAGTATATGTATATGTATATCTATACACATTGCACAAAAGAATGCAAAAGGGAAACAACCTTTTTTTAAATTTATTTTTTTATTTATACATATGCATGTATGTATGTATGTATTGTATTGTATTGTATTGTATTGTATTGTAATGTAATGTAATGTAATGTAATGTAATGCATGTATGTATGTATGTATGTATGTATGTATGTATGTACGTACGTACGTACGTACGTATGTATGTATGTATGTACACACGCACACACACACATATATATATGTATATACATGCACCAGGCCCTGCCACCCCCCCTCCCCCCCATGGGATGGATCCCATATACTGGCCCCATATGAGATCTTCCCCCTCCCCACCTGTGGTGTGGTGGGGGTGTGGCACTGTCCCCCTGTTTTTGTTTCGACCTAATACCTATGCGGGTAAATGCATGAGTATTGAGCACATTTATATGCGCACTCAAGGCTCAAGAGGTATATAGAGTAACCCTGTGGACACCACACCGACAGGCAATACGCCGTGAGTAAAAGGGTGTGAAGCTGTCTTGGGAAGACGCCCCAGCTGATCTTGAATAGACGCTAGTGCCCCTCTTCAAGTGGTAGCGGAGCTGTGATCCTTCATTGAAGGTGAGCTCCAGGTAGAGCCCAATAATGGCACGCCATGGCTATGATGATGATGACTTCGACATTGTCGATGCAGATGGATGGAACAAATATGATTCTTACGCAATGAGAAGAGCCCCCCAGCAGACACAGATTCACATGACGCAGCAGATGACCACGAAGGTAGCTCCAGCATATGATGGGAGAACCAGTTTCTTTGCCTTTGAAGATTCAATCGATGACTGGTGTGACTTCACGGAGTTAGAACCGGAAAAACGTGGCCCAGCTTTGCGCAATCGTCTGGAAGGAGAGGCTCAGCAATACAAGAGGTTATTGGATAGAGAAATGCTCAGGGATCCCCATGACGGAGTGAACTATTTCAAAAGGTTTCTACGACCCCATTTCATCAAAGGTGCCCAGAACGTGTTCTTATACCGTTTCATGCAGTTCATGAAGTTCAACAGAGGAACTATGGATCTTCAGAAGTGGATGACTAATTTTCAACTGATTGGAAACAGACTTATTGAGTCTTGGATGGACTTACTACCAGAAGCGTTGATTACTAGCCCAGAAGCAATTCTGTTTATCCAACGACAAAGACAAGATCATGAAGCAGATCAAGTTGACCAAGCACAAGTGGCAGCAGCGACACCAGGCGCAGATCCCCATGTGGTCATTCCCTGGTCAGAAGTGGTCAGAAGAAATGACGTTAATGTCTTTTAGAACCTACAATGAAAACAGAAGACAAGCACAAAGGATGGCATTCCCATTGGGTGGCAATCTGCTAGCATTGATTTTTATAAGTTTAGCTGACCTGACTCAAGATCAGAGAAACACACTCACAAGTATCATGACACATCGTGGACGAACACTCGATCAGTACCATGTGCAAGAACTGCGTGACCTGTTTTGGGAAATGTTTTGCACTACAAAAACAGCAGTTGACAATCCATGACAATCCAATGATGCAACCCTCTGGCATGGCACAGAGAAGATCTTTCCTCGTGCTGGATGAAGGTGAACTAGAAGGAACCGAGGGCTATTGGGCCGAAAATGAAGAAGACGGCGCAGAAGGATTCCTGGATGCTCTAGAAGATGTTTTCTGGGTGCATGATGACGCTGACAACACATGGTATCAGAGAAGGTTCCAAGGCAGACAGACCAGACGAGGCAAAGGTAAAGGAAAGAGAAAAGGAAAAGGAAAAGGCAGAGGAGGACGAAGGTTCTTCAGATCAAGAAAAGGAAAAGGCCGAGGAAAGGAAGAAGAAAAGGCCGCTCTCACATGGGGAGTGAAGAGGGTTATGAAGAAGAATGGCAAGAAGGAGGTGATTGGAATGAATCCCATGAAGGCTATTGGGCCGATGATCACAACTGGAATGAAGGCTATTGGGCCTCTGGTGATCTGTACTATCTTGATGAGTGTGGATACTTCCAGAAGAAAGGAAAAGGAAAAGGAAAAGGAAAGAAAGGCAAGAAAGGCAAGGATGATGATGGCAAAGGAGTAAAACCAGGAGATGGCTAAGGTAAGTCCAACTATGTTCAACGTCAGACCCCATCAACTCCTGCTATACAGAATCAACAACAGCAACAAGCTCATTATTCTTCTGCAGCATCAAGCTCTGGTCATGGTTTCTTTGCATTTGCAGAGGCTGAACCAGCACGTGTGGATGTTTTGACAGCCACTTATGCTGAACGAGAAGAACATCGACGTACTCGTCGTGGAGGACAGAACCAACGTGATGCAACAGCACAGCACAACAGGAGAGAGCTCAAGAAGTTCCCTGTTTTAGTTGGAGATCTTGATGCACTTCGACAAGGTGTACAACGACGTCCAGCTCCTGTGCCCAGGCAAGTTGGTCTACAAGAAAGTGAGGCTTCATGGAAGCCACTGGCAAAAGGCACATCATTGTTTTCACATGGATGCTCTGCAGAGACAGAGGTACCATCTCATCCTGAAGGCTTTGTAGAGACAAAGGAATCAGATGAGCAACAGAGTGCTTTTTCATTTCATACTGTGCAGACTGATCTGGCATGTGAGAAAGGACTAGCTTTTCACACAGAGAATTCTGCACCACCAACTGTATGTAGCCTGGATCTGGGATGCACAAGAGCTATGGGCTCTCGACGAGCAGTTGAAGCATTTTGAAGATATGTTGGCTCACATCCCAACAGTGGACTCTGGTATGAAATTCAGCCAACAAGTTCAAGATTCTTCTTTGCAAATTCCCAACAATCCAAGTGTACTGAGAAGCTTGTGATATTCATGTAGGACAATGGATGGAACACTCAGTTCACAGAATTCGACATTGTCGAAGAAGGTGATGTCCCATTGTTGATGTCACTTCCACAGATGAGAAACCTTCGATTTCAATTTGAACTTACTCCAGAGAAGGCTTACTTGTCCTGTGCACGTATTGGCATGAGAAAATGGTCTTGAAGACAGTCATCAGTACTCATCTCATTCTCGACTTACAAGATGCTGTCAAACAAGATGTTCAAGAAGAAGAAGAAGCTTTGGTGACTGGTGACTACTGGCAAGTTGATCCACTACGTCGTGAACTCATCAGGCACCACAAGGACAAGAGGAGAAATCTACATGAGATGAATCGATCAGATGAGACTCCAATTCCAAAAGATCAACTTCTTGATGAGAGAGAGAGAGAGACACATCAAGAGTTCCAGAAGGGCAAGAAGAAGGTTCTTCACAAGGACAACTGGCGCGAAGAGAGGAAGAGGTTTTCTGATCAGAGTGAAGAGTTCTGGAAGGGCAAGACCATCTACAGATCAAGAAGGACC